ATGTAAAGCGTGTGTCCATACACACGTAGAAAAATATTGCTCATTTTTTCACCAACTGCAAAGTCGAATATCAAAACAGCGAGCACTGCTACTGCTATGGCATCGCCCGATATAAGTTGCTGCTGCGAAATGATGTCCAGCGACATGAGTGACAGCATTCAGTGTATAAAAAAGCGTTTAGCCATGTTGGTTTCATGCGTTTACATGTCGCCCCCCTTTATGTTGTCCGCTCTCACGCTCAATTGAGTTTACATGCCGCTCCTTCCCGTAACAACTTCCCCCCTCCTTCGAGGTCCTTCAGCATTGGCATTTGTCTCTCACACAAGAGCACTCGGAACACGCGACAGCAAAAGGGAGAACTCAAGGGCGCGCGACTTAGCTAGTGTGCCAAGTAAAGGCTCGATCTAGTCCCTCGGGGCCTCTGTAAGTTGCTTTTATCGTTTCGATGTCTTTGAGAGAAATACGAAAACAGTGTTCGCTCCTTCTAAGGGAGATGGCTGCATGGTATCAAATTTGGTCGAAGGATACCAGAACGAGTCGTAAAAATTGGGTGAAAACCGGACTAAAATATGTTTAATCGCTCAGGTGAGTCGCGTAGATTTAAAATAATAAGCACTGCCTTTGTTTACAAGCTAAACACAAATTTTCTTCAGGGCAATCCACGAATCACCGCATTGGCATACAATCATATATATAATCTTGAGCGTTTGGCAGCCATTCGCTGTGTTGGCTATCTAAAACAACGCCTGACGGCAGCCCTGGACGCAAAACTCACAGCATTCACTGAAGTAAGGACCAACAGGCCTATACGAAGATATTACTGCTTGTAAACCCTAATAGAACGATGATTTGAGTTAGCTTTCAAGAGCAGTTTGACAAAATACAGTAGCGATGCTGCTTTTAGGCAAGTTTTCTATAAGACCCCTCGTTCTTCATTTCATAAGCGATATTGTCCTTTAAGAGCTTGAGGCCGAGAGGCCGAGAGGCCAAGAGGCCCTTTCCTGTCTGTACCATCGTATTATTCTATATAATAGCGTGCATGGCACGTGTCTATCGAAACATGTGGCCCCATTTAAAGGAAGACAGGCGAAAAGAGAGAGCGACTCGTAGCACTAGCAACCGGAACATTTGCTTTGCGAAATATTCTAGTGATCTTTTGCTAATCATTCTGTATTTCTGTTGGCTTCCATGAACAGACCACATTGGGAAATGTTGCGAAGTCTGACAATATTGAAATGCATATCGGTAGCTTCTTCGTACTCTACCAGATATCTAGGGCAATGGGATAGGAAATGATTACTCTTACCCCTATGAAACTTCATGCGCACATGTTGTATATACTCAATATTCAAATTTATTTTTTTCCCGACCTCTGGGGGGTAAACGGACATAAAAGGAAGATGTTAAAATTAGTTTAGTTTTATAAATATTTAAATAAATCTGCAGGTATAATTATCTGCATCGATAAAATGATACTACACCTCGAGTCATGATGCAGATACGCATTCTCCATCGGAAGATAAAGACTAATATGTTATAATATAATGGCAAGTAGAGCGTAACGTGTAATGTCATTGTTCTCTCTTAGTGTTTCTTTCACGTTCCCGTTGAAATCCCATTGTGCCTAGGAAGACCTACGGTGCAGCGAAGCAGCGGGATATAATACAATAGTTCACTTCTTGTACCGTGTACATCTATGACAGAAAGTAGGTTTACATGGCCTATGACACTTGTCAGGCTCCGTGCGACAGTCAACATTGGTGTTTTGGCCCACTCGATTTTCTCGGTCCAGTGATTTATGGCTGATCGTTTGCCACCCGCCGCCTGCTACTTGCTAAATGATCAGCCGCAACATATAGAAAGGGAACAATTAGGCCTTGAATAATTTCATTAATTATTATTGTCTACAGCAGTGGAAATTGAAGAAACGACCTATGACGCGTAGCGATAGCAAGTGTACGATACAAGTGAACAAGACTGGCCATTACTGAACTGTGGACAAACATGGACGATATATATATATAATGTTCCTTTTGTGTGGTTTTTGCCTCTTCGGCTATTACAGATAATGATTATGCTAATGATGCCGAAAGGCGCTTTTTATCTCCAATTATAATCATACTACAGAGAAAGCGCAAATGTGCTTGGATGCCCACACTTGTACTGAACGCTATATACTCGTGCAGAGTATCGACCTACGGATAGAGAGTACGCACACTACGGAAGTCTGCAGGACTAAAAGTGGAAAAAGGGAACTCTATTTTGATTGACAAAATGCGTTAATTGAAATAAGCTCTTTTTTGGATCCAGTCTAGACA